TGAAAAAAATAATATAATATAATATGTATGTCAGAATTCTCAGAAAAAAATTAATTGATGTTTTTATATGTTTTAAGTTTTCGTTAAGACGATAATAAGAAGATTGGATCTTTCTAGCTGGAAGAATGGCGGGAGATGGGGGGGGGGGATAGGATATTATATATATCGTTTTAGATTTTATAATTCTGAGTCTCACAGCTTAGGTCGTAGATGTAGGGTTGAAGTGTTTGATTCGCGAACTAATTAGTGTTGTTCGATCATCAAGTCAAGTCGAACTGAACCAATGGTATATGACCTAACATAAGAAAGAAAAATAAAGTATAGAACTATTTTCATAACGAAAACGTTGAAGGACTCATATAATAAAGCAAGAGTTCCAAAAGGAACCCCCAATAAAAAATTTTAAAAAAACACGCATGTAACGTTTATTACAGCAAATTTTTAATATTTTTTTTTATTTTCAAAAAATCAATTATATGGCCATTACCCTACATCATTTCTTTGACATTGATTTCATTATAATACCCCTATGAGCCCTCTAGACTCTCCTTAGCCTAGAACTAGAATCCCCAATCCCTGATGACTTAACTAATCAATTATAAAATGGTTACCGACTATGCGATTAAACCCAAAGAATATGCCCCCCCCACCCCCAATCCCAAGGTAACACCTGGAATTTGTTACGCAATTCGCTTCCCATCATACTTACCTTATTTCCATGCAATACCAATCTTCTATTTCCATCCACGTTTCAATAAAACAGATGGTCAACTGAAGACCGAATCATATCACTATTGAGAAATTATAAGTATTTTTTTTTCTGTAATTTATTTCTAAAAATAAATTTAATTCCTAAAGCCCTATTTCATGTAAAATGGCAAATCAAATAATTAACAAATTTGAATATTCGTTGACACGGCGAATTAATATATCCCTCCTTCCTAAGGATGATCAAAAACCTTTCGACATCCGTATCATCTGATGCCACCTCGCAGTCTAGAATATCTCAAATTCTTCTCTATTTTTCTTAAGGAACAATATATGCTCTCCACCAGCAGGGCATCCATCTTTAAAAAATATAGTTTTTCTCTGTAGATGTCAGAACTAAGAACTCACTCTCTCTCAAGTTTATTCTCAATCTCAGCCAGCCTCCCCCCATACCTCAAATCTTCCCTTATTTGTTTATTATTGCACGCATGATCCTCCTTTTACTGCCTTAGAATCTGATAACCGCATTTAAGGTATTTAAAATGATTTCTCTGCCATCCAGACCTTTAATTACAATTTTAGCCGCAATCTTTTATCTCTTATTCAGTAGCACTACACTTGTTCTCCTCTATTTAATCTGTACCTTTATTGACTCTCTCAAATAAGAATCATACACCCACCCCCCTTCAAATAGTCCATCATACTGAAACATTCACGGTTATTTGCATGTTTTTTTACCGCACACAAATTTGAGTCTTCTAAACTCCTTTTGTGTCTTTCTCGGAATATTCAGGTATATCGAATTACTTGTATTCAAATTAGTATTCGCGCTCATATCAATCAAATAAGAATAGTAAAATTCTATTATTTATATAATGAAGACGAATTGAAATAGTATGCATTCATATTTTATCCCAAATTTAGCGGCGAAGTATATACATAAATTAACTATGAATGTCACTAACGAAGAGATAGGGGTTGTGGGAAGCAATATGGCTGCTAGCAGCCAGCCTCTTCGTTATGAGAAGAATGGTAGGGTTAGGATGGAAAATCCTATGAGGTTGGGAAACAGGGATTTCAGGATTTCTATCTGCAGTATTTGTCAGTGTCAAAGTGCACACAAATTGAGCGTTTACGTTTTGCCGTAATTTTTTTAATAAAAAAAACGTGTCCCTTGTTTAAATTGAGGTTGCCTTTTTATTAATATCTGTCTATTCAAAATTTTAAATAAGTTTCTAAAAAAAAAGGAATTGTCTTTGAAAATTATATTATCGTCTGCGTTCTTATTTCTTTAAATTTCTAAATATTCCTTTTTAGGATTATTAGTAAGTTATTAACAGAGTTGTTAAAGGATCTAGATACAAGTATCTAGATCATCTAGATATAAAAATGTGGTATCTGTATCTGTATCTAGATAGATTTTTGATTAAAATATCTGTATCTAGATATTATTTTAGACGATGTATCTTTATCTAGATCCATTTAAAAAGTATCTTTTAACAACTCTGGTTATTAATAATACATTTTTATATAATATTTCAAAGCGAAGCGAAGAATAAAATGAGTAATGAAAAAGCAAACCTATTTACGTTTTTTTTTAAAATGGTTGCTAAAGCCAAACGGTAATTTTACCGATTTTCACGAGGCCATTTAAAACGCATTATTTGCGCTTGTAAAGCGGCCTTTGAAAGGCTCAATTCGTGCTCACTAAAAAATAAAATACAATATTTTAATAAATTTTATTTCAAAATTCTTTATAGGAAAATATAGAGAAAAAAAGATTTTAATAACATTAATTTAAAAAAAATAAATAAAAAAATTTAATGAGTATATAATTATGTGAGGGGGGGGGGGGGGTAAATAGGGAAAATAAAAATTAAATGTGAATGTTGTATTGAATTGAGATGGCGAACATCTTAATTATATATTTGAAAATCTAAAGCGACATCAACATCCACGACAAAATATAAAAATTTATCAATTATATTTATATAAAAATAAATTTTTTTTTTTTTATATAAAATACTTAAAATATAAGAATTGGTTTAATGTAAAATGACAAAATTGAAGATTTTTTAAAAGTATAAAGTTTTAAGATTTGTGTAAAGATCAATATTTGAATTTAATGGCGCATAAAACAGTTTTATATAAAAAAAAGTAAAATTTTAATTTTAATTTTTTATCCAAAAAAATCGCATTAAAAAAAAGGGACTTTTAATAGTCTTTCTTTCAATTAGAAATGGTGAATTTTGAAAAAAAAGGACAGTATATGTGATTCAAGCAACAACAACAAAAATCGATATGCTGAATATGAGATGGAATAAGTAATGGGTTATTATTCTATGAGGAAGTTATATTTATTTTTGAGGAATGTTCCATTTAAGATAAAAGATTATGTTTTTCCTTTAATGAGCAATGCTCTTCTAAATTATGAAAAATAGTTGTAATAATTAACAATCCCCAAGTCTATTAGTGTATATAAGAGTAAAATTGTTTTTCCCCTATTATAATAATTAATGAATCTTGTTTTATGCTTAGATTTTAGATTAAAATTGTCTTTTTTTTTTTTACTTCTCAAATATTATTCAAGATTATAACAATAAAGAATCGTATTTTATGATTAAGATCTTAGTATGATACCGAGCAGAGTCAAAACTTTCTCTTACTTAAATTAAAATATAAACTAAATAATTATGTAATACAAATCAATTGTTTGCTTAGATCTTAGATAAAATTGTATTTTTTTCCCCCTTCTCTTATATTATTCAAGATTATAACAATAAAGAATAGTATTTTATGATTAAGATCTTAGGATGATACCGAGTATGATCAAAACTTTCCTCCTACTTATGAATTAAAATATAAACTTGTATAATATGTAATACGTTATAATAAATTTATAAAAAATAAGAATGAGTCAATTGGTTGCTTAGATCTTAGATAAAATTGTATTTTTTTTCCCTTCTATAATATTATTCAAGTTCTAACAATAATGAAATCTATTTTGTGCTTTAAGATGATACCAGGATGAATTAAAATACAAACTAGTATAATATGTAATACATTATAAATATTGATAAATTTATAAAAATAAGAATGTCAATTTGTTTGCTTAGATCTTAGATAAAATTGTTTTTTTCCTTCTCTAATATTATTCTCTAACAATAATGAATCCTATTTTATGCTTTAGGATGATACCAGGATGAATTAAAATACAGATTAGTATAATTTATATGTAATACATTATAAATATTGATAAATTTATAAAACTAAGAATGAATTAATTGTTTGCTTAGATCTTAGATAAAATTGTATTTTTCCTTCTATAATATTATTCAAGATTGTAACAATTATTGAATCGTATTTTATGCTTAGATCTTAGGATGACATCGAGCATAATCAAAACTTTCTCTTACTTATTAATTAAAATACAAACTAGTATAATATGTAATACATTATTAAATATTGATAAATTTATAAAAAAAAATAAGAATGAGTGAATTGTTTCAGAGTAGTTTTGTTAAACGGCCCGAACCCAAAATATTCGCCAAAAATATTACGCCAGCCTCAAGATTTGGTTTATGCTTTCTATTCTACCCTCTACGAGCAAAATCTCCAGGCTTAGGTAATATTCTAATATTTGGTCCAGGCCGTTTAACAACACTATTTCAGAGACTTTTAAACGCCCTACCCCCAACTTTCATTCCCACGTGCCACTTTGCCCATATCCTATCAAAAAATAGCAAAAAAAAATGGAAATCCAGATAAAATATAATCCAAATGACGATCTCCCGTCATGCCCCACTGCCAGTTATAAAAGTCTCCGAATCGTTATTTTATTTAACGCAAGACTCTGATCCAATTTCTCAAAATAAAATTCAAGTATGCCGGATAAGAACACGTTCCTGTTCCTCCAATCCAATGATTTAAATAACTTTTTTAAAGCAATATATGTCATTAACTGCGCGATTATCTTCCCCCCCCCCCCCACATTCCTTATAGTTAAGCAATTACTATTAAACTCAGTTTCCTTATAACAATGCATCCGCAAATTTAGCAAAATTAGTTAGTCCATTTTTAACCATCAATCTATCCCTACTATTTATGACCGTTTATTCATATTAGATAAGCTGTTCGGCCATCACCCACCCCTACTACTTATGACCGTACAGTTTTGTTCATATTAGATAAAAGTTTAGCACTTTTTTAGATAAAATAATGATATTTATTTTTGCGAAACTTTGAAAAATAAAATAAAATGGAAGAAAATGAAAAAAAATAAAATATTTTACCATATAATTTGATCTTTTTATCTTTGGTTTCTATCAGTAATAGAACATATGCCCCTAAATCCACCATAGCCAATATAAAAAAAATTTTTTTTAGAAATAATTTCTGTGTCTTATATGTTTTATAACGTAATTTATGCTTTTATTTTTATATTTATAATTATGTTGTTTTATTTGTTTTTTTTATAAATTAGTGAAAAGGAATATAAAAAATTTTCTCCGCCATAATCCTAAGATATTCTTAAGAATTTCAAATTTTATTAATTGTCTTTTAATGAAAGGGATAATGTAATAATCCGAATAATTTGAATTTGTTTCCGTGTAAGAATTTTTTTGGGAATCTGATATTTATTTTAAAATGGAATAAATTTAGGAATCCATGATTTTAAATTTTCAACTTTGTTTTTATACAAAAAATCATTATTTTCTTTCATATAAAAATATGATTAAAATTCGAATATTTTTTTTCTCTATTAATAAATTAGATATATTTTTAATCATTTTTTAAATTAAAATTGATAAAAAAAAATTTTTTAAATTAAAATTGATAAAAAAAAATTTTTTAAAAAATATATATTTTTATATAAAAAAGTATCATTATAAAGCATTATAAAGCCAAAAATTTAACAAAAATAATCAATAGATTATATAAAAAAATATCTTATATAAAAAATGAATCAAAAATAATATTGTAATAAATTTTTTATATTTTTTATAATATAATTTTTTTTCATTAAAATATTATAAAATTAAAATAATGAATTTATAGAAAAATTATAAAAAAATTACTTTCTAAATAACATACTCTCTACATATTTTTTTTTTAAAGTAACGGGCTACCAATTCTCGATACCTTGTGAAAAAGGAAGGGGTATCCAATGACATATATAATACCTAGACTGACCATTCATTCATTAAAAGTGTACATCAATGCAAATCAGCTGGAGACGCCATCTTGGTTACACTAATCATTATTAAAATTTTAAACGAAAGCCTCATTTACTCCTATATCATGCAAACTTTATTAAAGAATTACCGGATCATCGAGATAATAAGGAAGCAAGTTATGAATTAAATAGTAGTTTTTAACATGAGAATAATTATACTATATGTGTTACCAAAATGGCGGTTCCAGCTGATTTGCTTTTAACGACGCTTAAAAACGCATTTTAATAAATGAATCGTCAGTCTAGGTATTATATATGTCATTGGGGGTATCACTTGATATTCAAAAAAAAAAGTAACGCGTTACTTAAAAAAATATCTTAAATATATTATATTTTATAATATAAATTTTTCATTTTTTTAAAAAAAATTGATTTTCAAAAATTTTGATCAGATTAATTGGTCAGGAACACCCGGTGCTTAACATAGCGTTCGCGGTTCCTAACACACGTTTAACCGACACAGTGGGTATAAAAATTATAATTATGGGGAATTTATTATAAATATTTAAGAAATGATCCATATTTACAAAATTAGATCATCGAAAATATCTTCATTCACATCCTTTTATCGGGATTATTCGTTTATCTTTATCAGAGGTTAAATCTGGTATGCACCTTTATTTAAAGAAACTGCTTGTAGTTGTCGAGATCCATTTTTTTTCGAGCTTTAAAATATTTGAAACTAGGACACAATCTACACTTACAAAGTGTAGACCTAGTACCCTTAACTAAGATCTGCATCAGGCTTTTAAAGCCCAACCCGGCCCGTAATTTTTAAAAAAATTTAAATATAGAAATTCATTTTTATAATTATTCAAAATAAAAGATACATGTTATATGGCGGCGTCTAGTTTTTATAAATAAAATCAAATATTTTTATTTTACATCAAAAATTTAACATAAAATTATTTATAAATTTAGATATGTTTAAAAAAAAAATCCAAGGCCCCCCCAGTCGACCCGGCCTGAATTTTTTTATATTAGGGCCCGGTCTGGGTACGGGCCGGGCTTACTTTTGCAGATCTCTACCCTTAACTTTCTTTATAGAGCCTTTAAAGAAAAATTTCATGCTGGGGCCAGAGCAGAGTTAAATCGTCTTTGTATGAAGAGCTAGGTAAGGTACTATTGACATATATAAAAATAAAATATGATATTAGAAGTATATAAAAATTAGAATACCTTGATTGATTCATTCCATATTGATTAGATTAATAAACAAAAATATAATTATATAAAAAATATATGAAAAACTTTGAATTGATTTGAAATAGAATCTTATTTATAAAATTTTTAAAAATATATATAATAAAATTTTTCCTCTTTTAAGAAATCTCGTTACTCAAAAAAAACGCCTTTAGTATCTACGTTACCATTATCGTTACTTTTATCTACGTTACTTTCATCGTTACTTTTATCTACGTTACTTTAGCATTAGTAAAATATTAAATCGTGAGATTTAGAGAATGATGATCAGGAATTATGTCACAAATGAGAATTATTTAAATGTATGGTTAATTTTTTTTTTTCAAACTTAAACTGCAAGATGTCCGAAAAATATCCTAATTATGTCATTTAAATTTCTGGCACATCGGTCCATAATAACAATGTGGGTCGGGTAAATGCTTTAACCCAAGTTATCCGACACGGCCTGATATAACCTGGTCCGCGACCAATTCGGGGTACACTGGTCAAGCTCGAATTTTTTGCTCAAAGACACCCTCCGTGTTTAGCCACCATTTCTCCGGCATGGGTTTGTAGACAAAGCCCCCTGAATTAATCCGATTTTATTTTTTTTAACTAAATATAAAAATAATCAAAAATGATTTTAAATTTCAAATATGTTTGGGTAATGGCTAAATGTCGGCTAATTCTGCCCGATCTTTGGACGCCAGTAGTTGGAGAAAATCCGTTAACATTAAGGCGTTTTAATTTTATAGCAGTTTCTTTCAAATTTGAGCAGCTATCTTTTTACCCGCGGTCAAAGTTGATAGTTTTTTTCTACTGAAAAACTTGGTTTAGCCGGCTAAAATTTGACTTAAACGGCCTAAAGAATGTAGTAAATTTTACCCAACTAAAAACAATGTAAATTTTTTTATCTCTCAAAATTTAAACAATTATGATTTTCAAACAATAATAAAAAAGGAAGAGATTAAAAATAAATTGTTAAATGATTATTATTTAGCACGTTTCCTTTTCAACAATTGTAACATTGTAACACAAACACACAAATATTTTTCAATAAATCAAACAAAAAAATATATATATATTTTATTATGATAATTTTTTTAATATTTTATATTTTTTTATAATAAAAAATTTCGGAATCGAAAAATATAAAATTGTTTCATTAATAATTATATTTTATATTTATTTATTTAATAAATCAATAAAAATCGATAATGGTTTCCAATCAATATAATTTTTTTTATTATTATTATTGGAGGAATCTTCTACCCTTTTTCTTTCTTTTTCTTTCAATTGACTATTCCACCCCTCTCTCCTATAATCACAAAAAATAAAAATTTTAAATCAAAAAAAAAATATAAAATAAATTTTAAAATGAAATAAATATTAAAAAAAAGAAAGAAAGAATTGAAACTAAAAAAACTTTACGGAATTTTAAATTAAAATCTATTTTTTGTTTCCCAGCGATTAAATGTCATAATAAAAAAATATTTATTTTTTGATGTGAGCTTTTGAAAATTTTAAAAAATTTTAAAAAAATAAATAAATATATCAACTCAATGTCAAAGTTATGAATAGATTCAAAATGGCGATTCATATTTTTTAAGGAAAAATGGAAGATTGTTTTTTTTTTAAAATTTTCTAGATAATTTGTTCAACCCATTTTACCCGCCTTTTGCTTAATTTATTTCGAACCAGCCAATAAATTTTGTCATACTAATTTTTTTTAAAATTTTGAATTATTTAAAAGCGCGCGAACCTAATTCTGCTAACCTCTCGTATTCTAGATTTCAGTCAATTTTTCCTAGAACTTTTAAACTACTTCTTTTATACCTACAAAAATACGAAACTAATATTTCTCATCATTACCATTTATTCTATTTAGACTTGTCGAAATATTCAAAAAATTAAATTCCATAAAAAATATTTTTCAAAAATGGATTATTTAAATTTTTTTAAAAAGGTGATTTACAAATGTGGAAAAAAAATAGTGTTAAATAAAATTAATAAGTTCCCGTTGGGAAATAATGTTGAATATTTAATGAACAATTTTAAATATTTAAGAATAATGTTGAATATTTAATGAACAATTTTAAATATTTAAGAATAATTTCGAATAATACTAATTATTTCGAATATATAGATAATTAAAAAATTAATAATTCGAGAGATATTCAATTCTAATAAACGAATAATTTTGTTATAATACATTTCCATAAAATCGAATGATTCGTTTTATTAGGTATAAATTTATTAAAAATTTTTATGTATAATATCATAGTTTACCCATATGTTCTTTGTAGTGTTGTTTGAACGGCTCGTTTTAAGCCGATCTTTAAAAACGGCTAACTCAATATTTTAGCCAGAAAAATATTGGCTGACTAGATTTTGCCAATAGAGGGTGTCCTCTTCTCTTCTCTTCTCTTCTCTTATCTTCTCTTCTCTTCTCTTATCTTCTCTTAAATCTTCAGGCTTGCGTAATATTATTCTAAACGAAATATTGAGTTGGCCGTTTTTAATAATCGGCTCAAAATGAGCGGTTTAACCTTATATAACGAAAATTTAAACAATCGCTAAAACCGAGACTGTCTAATTTTAATAAATAAAGCTTTTTAAACTGTAAATTTCAACTCTCTCAATTTTTTTGTTTTGATGATATATAATTATCTCCATTTTTTAAAAAAAAACCTTACTCTATTTTACTAATATATAAAATTATTTTCGAAATTAGCCTTTATTGGAATTGCAATTACTTTGAAATAAGTATTTTTTTACAAAAAGTATTTTTTAAAGGGGGGATTATTATATAAATTTTTTATATTTTTTATTTTTTAAAAAAAAGGCTTAAAATATCAAGAGTGGGATTATTTCGATTTTAATTTATCATTTTATAATATATTATATATATATAACTCGAAACTCGTATAATAATCTATTTTTTTTCATTTAATTTTTCTAAAAAATAATTGAT